CGTTTTTCTGATACCATGAAAATATAGACCAACTAGTGCAAAGTAAAGAGTTCACACCTAGATAGGATAGAAGGAGAGAAAAACCATATAACAAAACCAAATCCAACAAAGCATTATGTCCCAATCATTTGGGGTTGGCTATATGAGTCCGTCTTTGCTATTCATTTCGATTATGCACTATACGCTCATTTAAGTTAAATATTTTCATATTTTTTCTTATTATTTTGTTCAATGTTAATTTAGGTCTACCCATACTTATAGTACCATTAAGAGAAATTTGATCATTTTTTTGAAACGGTGCCTTTATCGGCCTACGTTGAACATGACCAAATCATTTTAATCTATTATCTCTAAACTTATCCTCAATTGGAGTTACTCCGACCATTTCTCTAATATGATCATTTTGTATTCTATGCTTTCTAGGTTTTTCGTACATCCACCTTAACATTCTCATTTTTGCTACACTCATTTTGTCACTATGTTGTTTCCTAGTTGCTAGCATTCTATCCCATATGACATTGTTGTCCTTATAACTGTTTGATAAAACTTACCTTTCAATTTTATTGGTATCATTCTATCACATAATATACCAGAGGTTTTCCACCACTTAAGTCAACCGTCGTTGATTCTATGAATTACATTATCTCCAATCTCTCCATCATTTTTAATAATCGATCCTAGATATCTAAATCATTTACTCGTTATTTTTTAATTTTCAATCTTAACTTTTTCATTATGTCTACTTCTATTATTAAAATTGCAATGTATATATTTAGTTTTATTTCTACTTATTTTAAACCTTTTCGACTCAAGTTTCTCTCTCTAAATTTTTAATTTATTGTTAATCCCCCTTCGAGTTTCATCTACTAATACAATATCATCTGTAAATAGCATACATTGTGGTACATCATCTTGAATATGCCTAATGAGTTCATTCATAATTAGGACAAATATGTATGTACTTAGAGCTGATCCTTGGTGTAATCTCACCGTGATTGAAAATTTTTTACTTTCTCCAAAGGAAAATGTAATTGTAGTTATAACCCTGTCATACATGTCTTTTATCACCTCAGTATACCTATTCATCATTAATTTCACTCAAATACCCTCTATATTATATTTTTAGGCACTTTATCATACGCCTTTTCTAAATCTATAAATATTATACGAAGATTTTTCTTCTTTTCTCGATACTTTTTTATGAGTGTCCTTAATAAATATATAGTCTTTATAGTTGATCTACTCAGCATAAACCCAAACTGATTTTTCGACACTGCAATCTCAACTCCTAGGCGACGTTCAATGACCATTTCCCATAATTTCATTGTATGACTCATCAATTTTATCCCTCTATAATTATTACAATTTTGAATATCTCCTTTATTTTTATAGACAGGTACTAGAATACTCCTTTTTCATTTATTAGGCATTTTTCTAATAGCAATAATTTTATTAAATAATTTCATTAGCGACGACACCCTCTCATTCCCTAAGCACTTCTAAACCTTAATTGCAATCTCATCTGGTCCTAAAGTCTAGCCTAATTTCATTTTCTTCAATGCAAATTCTACTTCCGAATTCTTTATTCTACGAAAGAACGTGTGTGCTCTAGTTTCATGAATCCTACCATTTTCTGTCACTTTTAAATTTTCTAAATAATTTTCATGTAATAGTTTCTCAAAATAGTCTTTCCACCGATCATTTATTTCTTCATCTTGAACTAAAATATTTGAGTCCTCGCCCTTGATGCACTTAACGTAGTTAAAGTCTCTTGTTTTTCTTTCTCTAGTTTTAGTTAGTTTGTAGATGTCTTTTTCTCCCACTTTACTATCTAGTTTTTTGTACAACTCATTGTTGGCTTTTAACTTGGCGTCTCTAACTATCTTTTTAACTTCCTTGTCAGCTAATTTATATCTTTGGAAGTTTTCGTTATTTCTATCATTTTGTCATCTCTTAAAAGATTTTTTCTTTGCTTTAACTACATCTTCTACCTTTTAACTCCCCAAAAACCTCTTTATAAATTTTTTTAATGTCCTCTATCATCCTATTCCATATAACGTTAGTATCATCTTCCAGGTTCCATAAGGACTACTTAAGCATGCTACTCCTAAATAGTATTAGTTTCTCATATTTTAGATTCCACAATCTCATTCTTGTTTTTCTAATACTTCTCTTTACTCTATGTTGCCCTTTAATGTATAAATCTAAGATTGTTAGCCTATGTTGAGATGTTAAGCTTTTTTCCAAGATAACCTTACAATCTTTACATGCTAATCGGTCCGTTCTTCTACTTAAGAAATAGTCTACTTGGTTTTTGTTTGATCCACTCTTAAAGGTTATTAGAAGTTCTTCTCGTTTGCTAAACAAGATGTTTGCCTCTGCAAAGTCACAAGTCATTGCAATCTGTAAAATACTCTCTCTAACTTCATTTTGATTACCATATCCATAATCACCATGCATCATCTCATATTGTGTCCTATATTTTCCAACATGTCTATTGAAATTTTCACTTATGATTATCTTTTCTGCCATAGATATATGTTGCATTAATTCATCCATTTGCTCCCAAAATTGTTTTTTGATATATTCTTCTAACCCTACTTAGGGTGTATAAGTGTTAATCATATTAATTATATTCTCTCTGACTACAAGTTTGATAGATATAATCCTATCTCCTTTTCTTGTAAATACTACTACGCCATCTTTTAGGTCTTTATCTACAACTTTTCCTATGTCATTTCTTCGTCTATCCTTTTCTGCATAGTAAATCTTAGATCTTAGATCTTGTATTTTCTATCTCCTTTGCCTTCTCACCTACCCACTTAGTTTCTTGTAAGCACGTTATACTAATTTTTCTCCTCCTCATAGTGTCTATTAATTCCATTGTTTTACCGATAAGTGTACTTATGTTCCATATTGCTAATCTAAGTCTATTAGCATANGGTCTTTATCTACAACTTTTCCTATGTCATTTCTTCGTCTATCCTTTTCTGCATAGTAAATATTAGATCTTAGATCCTGTATTTTCTATCTCCTTTGCCTTCTCACCTACCCACTTAGTTTCTTGTAAGCACGNGTCATCTCTTAAAAGATTTTTTCTTTGCTTTAACTACATCTTCTACCCTTTAACTCCCCAAAAACCTCTTTAGAAATTTTTTTAATGTCCTCTATCATCCTATTCCATATAACGTTAGTATCATCTTCCAGGTTCCATAAGGACTCCTTAAGCATGCTACTCCTAAATAGTATTAGTTTCTCATATTTTAGATTCCACAATCTCATTCTTGTTTTTCTAATACTTCTCTTTACTCTATGTTGCCCTTTAATGTATAAATCTAAGATTGTTAGCCTATGTTGAGATGTTAAGCTTTTTTCCAAGATAACCTTACAATCTTTACATGCTAATCGGTCCGTTCTTCTACTTAAGAAATAGTCTACTTGGTTTTTGTTTGATCCACTCTTAAAGGTTATTAGAAGTTCTTCTCGTTTGCTAAACAAGATGTTTGCCTCTGCAAAGTCACAAGTCATTGCAATCTGTAAAATACTCTCTCTAACTTCATTTTGATTACCATATCCATAATCACCATGCATCATCTCATATTGTGTCCTATATTTTCCAACATGTCTATTGAAATTTTCACTTATGATTATCTTTTCTGCCATAGATATATGTTGCATTAATTCATCCATTTGCTCCCAAAATTGTTTTTTGATATATTCTTCTAACCCTACTTAGGGTGTATAAGTGTTAATCATATTAATTATATTCTCTCTGACTACAAGTTTGATAGATATAATCCTATCTCCTTTTCTTGTAAATACTACTACGCCATCTTTTAGGTCTTTATCTACAACTTTTCCTATGTCATTTCTTCGTCTATCCTTTTCTGCATAGTAAATATTAGATCTTAGATCCTGTATTTTCTATCTCCTTTGCCTTCTCACCTACCCACTTAGTTTCTTGTAAGCACGTTATACTAATTTTTCTCCTCCTCATAGTGTCTATTAATTCCATTGTTTTACCGATAAGTGTACTTATGTTCCATATTGCTAATCTAAGTCTATTAGCATAGACTAGCTTTCTTACCCCCCACGTTCGTCCATGGCACGGAGACCCTTGCCCATTTATCACTGCACCCGGGCACCGTAACTTATTTGTTGAAATGCCCCGAGATGGGCGCAACGCATCACTTATGGGGAACGGCTTAGCATTAGTTTATATATCATTGTTTGGGCTCATCATAGTGGATTCAACAAAGTTTTACGCAGGTTGTCGGTTATCTAACGCAACTCTTCTCCTTTATCCTTGCTGGCGACATTCAACATTGGTGGAGTTAGAGAAAAACCATATGCGGCACTCTAATATTCATAATAATGAAAAGTTAGTACAAGAGACAATATATAAGGAACCTACAATAAGAAAAAGACTAGACTACCCTTAATGNACGGCTTAGCATTAGTTTATATATCATTGTTTGGGCTCATCATAGTGGATTCAACAAAGTTTTGCGCAGGTTGTCGGTTATCTAACGCAACTCTTCTCCTTTATCCTTGCTGGCGACATTCAACATTGGTGGAGTTAGAGAAAAACCATATGCGGCACTCTAATATTCATAATAATGAAAAGTTAGTACAAGAGACAATATATAAGGAACCTACAATAAGAAAAAGACTAGACTACCCTTAATGATAAATAAATACAATTACATTCTTAACACTTCGCAAATCGATGTCGTGTAGATACCTTATGTTGGGCACGTTCTGTGGATAGTTTGGAGTTTTGTCTAGCAGTTTTGTACTTTGTGTCGATGCTTGTGCTTGCACATCTGACTGTAGCACAAGGGAAGCTACCACATTTTTTCCCGTTCAAATGAATAAAAAAGAATAAAAAAATTATGAATCCTTGCCAACTTTGTCAACTCTCCAATGAGTGGAAAAATATCAATCACAATTTTCAAGTGGATAATGTACCTTAACCAAGGTCCACAATGTTGAATAACATGACTGAAATTTACTTCAAAGATCCTATAAGTGAGTAGTGAATCAATTTTGATGAGAAGAGAAGATTGGAAAATTTTTAAAAATTCTTAGCTGGTCTTTCAGTACTATCTTAAATAGTGTGTTATTTCTTCTTCTGCAGAAGCAGCAGCTGTTGCTGTTCTTTCTATTATAATATTTTTAAGCATGAAACTTGTGTCTATTAAACAGGAATTGCGTAGAGATTGGTTGTCAGTATTGATGATTGTAACTTCCGCCCGGTCATCTATTAACATCAGGCATTTGGAGAAAGCTACAGTATCCACCGGAAAGGAAGGCTTATTATCAGAAGGAAATGCTGCATACAATTGGTCCAGGTGCTTTCTCATATCTTGCTTTATGTTTAGAAAGTTTGCTCTCATCCCTCGTTTAGGTTACAAATGAGAATTCTTTGATTACCTTGATAAAAATTCTCTTGTTACTCATGTCTGGGGAGATTGTTTTGAATTCCTAGATAACATTCGAAGAACACGTATTGAAATATTAATTTTTTCTTGTACTTATTGTAAAATTTCTGTAAGCTACTATATATATTGGTGGAAGTTGTCCTCTTCTAGGATCATGCCCATCTTCAATCATGTAGAGATAGACTTTTCATATGAGAGCAACAACTTGTTTGAAGACACTTTGTAATACCAAAAATCGAAAATTGATCGTGCAACATTTAAATTTTATTTTTCTATTTTTTCTCCTTAATCACACAATTTAAAATTAAATGAACAAAAATAAAATAAGAAAGAGGTAGGTGAGATAGAAGAGAGATATAGGTGTGAATTGGTGGTGTTGTTTAACATTAAGGGTCGTGCAATAAAAATGATGTTTTTCAGTGGGAAAAGAAATTTTGAGATGAATTTTGTACTATTGGATCAAAGTAGATGAACATTAGATCAATCTTGACCGTTGTTGTGTGTTTATAAGTTGAGAATACAAACTCCTAGCTCNAATAGATAAACATTGGATCAATCTTGACCGTTGTTGTGTGTTTATAAGTTGAGAATACAAACTCCTAGCTCTAATATTAGATAGATTGTAACTGTAATATTCTTTTCCAATTTGGGCGAAATAGACTTTCGCTATTATTTTTTTGGAAGCTGCGACCAAATCCTAATTAATTTGCTAGCTAGGGGAGATGATCACTTTGGTTTTCTCTTAACTTCATTATAGATGAAGAGCGAAGCAAATCCTGTCTACCAAGAGTCATGAGCCTAGTTGTGCTTCTGCCCACTGAGCTAGTTTATATATTGGGTTTTGTGATCAATTATCATGGTTTCTAATAGAGTGGACTAGGAGAATTTTTAGTTATAATCCTTCATCACAACTCAACTCAACAAAAGTTTGCCCTAACTATTTGGAGTCGGCTACATAAATCATGTTTTACCGCTATGCCAGATCAAGATCTATGTATATTAAAATATAAGCTAGTATTTTAATTTACTATATCATTTAAAATTAATTTCCCCCTGTATTACAGTCAATTAGTATCACTTCACTTGGTGTTTAGAATCACTATTAGCTTCAACTTTTTCCCTGGATACGTTGCATCTGTAATTATATACGGGCCTAGAATTGTTCATAGGAATTGGATTATATTTCGTTATAGTAGGCGTACACGTAGGGATTATGAGTTATTTGTCATTTTGTTTTTTAGGAACTTAGTTGTCATTATGACTATTTATTTCTTTTAGAGTTTTTTTTAGGATTTGTGTTCATCTATATATATAGGAGATATGATATTTGTTTTGGGAGATTTTGATTATTGATTATTGATTATTGATATTGAATTTTGATATTGCTTTTTCCTAAAATGCTCTCNGTTTTTTAGGAACTTAGTTGTCATTATGACTATTTATTTCTTTTAGAGTTTTTTTAGGATTTGTGTTCATCTATATATATAGGAGATATGATATTTGTTTTGGGAGATTTTGATTATTGATTATTGATATTGAATTTTGATATTGCTTTTTCCTAAAATGCTCTCTCTATTCTCATCCCTTTCTTCTTTTCTCATCTCCTTCTTCTTCCATTTCCATCCCTAATTCTTCCCTAATACGATCTACATCAATTGTCCTACTGCATAATAGAACATTTGCTACGAAATGGGTCCAACCTCTCTCTCTCTCTCTCATGTGTGTGTTTGCACATTTGACAAAAACTGAACATCTGAGGCAATAAATGGATCTGGGGTTGCTGNTTCATTTCCATCCCTAATTCTTCCCTAATACGATCTACATCAATTGTCCTATTGCATAATAGAACATTTGCTATGAAATGGGTCCAACCTCTCTCTCTCTCTCTCTCATGTTGCACATTTGACAAAAACTGAACATCTGAGGCAATAAATGGATCTGGGGTTGCTGGGTGGGTGAAAGGGAGTGTAAATTTGACATGATTGATCCCAGGCCCACTCAGCATTACTCAGCCCATTTGCAGCAGTCAAGCCAGTTGCATGTCATGCCCCCGTATAAAATAATTAAAGAATAAACTGTCAATAGAGGAGGTGTGAATAAATTTGTTTCTAGCTTTTGAGGAGACAAGTTCAATCATCCATTTTACTAGACGCCTGCTGGGAACCTGAAAGCTGGGGGTCGATGGATTAAACTTTCAACTGGGGAGATATTTCTTTCAACCGTATTCCCTTTCTTCTCATACATTTATGAAGCAGGTCCATTGTTAAGATACGATGAACTCTAGTCANTGTTTCTAGCTTTTGAGGAGACAAGTTCAATCATCCATTTTACAAGACGCCTGCTGGGAACCTGAAAGCTGGGGGTCGATGGATTAAACTTTCAAATGGGGAGATATTTCTTTCAACCGTATTCCCTTTCTTCTCATACATTTATGAAGCAGGTCCATTGTTAAGATACGATGAACTCTAGTCAGAGAGATTAAAAAGTGTCGTGGACGTGTTTTTGCGATGTGCCGATGTGGTATAGTTGGTTATATGTGGCTGTAATTGAAGTCTAAGCATGACAACATTTAGGCTCGAGGTTGATGGTGCTATCTTCTGCAGTTGAATGCTGACAACCCATAGTTTCCAAGGGGACCCTTTGTTGATCATATCTGCTTTAACATTTCCTGGAATGGAAGAGTAAATTGACGGTTGCTGCATGACTTGGACAAAATGCATCTGAGACCTTGTACTGACAATTTTATCCACCTTTGTTTCATATGTATGCTACAACTGCGGCAAACATCATGGCAACTTATTTGCCCCTGCTTTGGTGCCTTTATTGATGCAATCTGATTAGCAAGAAAAGATTTTCAGCACCAGTATCATGCCAAATAATCAAACGAAGAAGGCAACAACATTACAATAAATCTCATGACAAGTACTAAAAAAGGATGGGATAGGCAATTTCTTTTGTCTTTTTTTTTTGTTACTTTTTTGGGTGAGTTTTCATTTTTTGTTGATTTGGGTTGGGGGGTTGTCACCGCCTGACTTGCATTAGATACTTATCCTATTGGTGGTGTATCAGGCATCAACTATTCATGGCAACAATGTTGTTCATGTCATGGGCATGGGAAAGTAAGATTTTGGTGATTTTGTAGGATGAGCCAATCGGCAAAGTTCAAACCAATCATATGGGGAAACTATTCAATTTTATGACAGTACCTTTTAAGGTATTCTCAAGGGTAAATTACACTTTGGCCCCCTAAACTATAGACTCATTTTCACTTTGGCCCCTGAACTATTGAATTTTTCACATTGCTTCCCAACTACTCAAATTATCTCACATTTCTCCAATCGCATATCTCCGCTATCTTTTTGGACAGAAATTGCCAATGTGTCGGGCAAAGTGAAGGACATTATATACTTCGGGAGGGCAAATGAAATAACTTTTCGTTAAATATGTAACGCATGTTAATAATTGAGGTAATGTGAAACTAATCACATAGTTGAGGGGACAATGTGAAACAAAATCATAGTTAATGGGGGCCAAAGTGTAATTTACCCTATTTTCAATGGTCAACTCAACTGTAATGCCAAAATTGCTGTTTTATGAAAATACCTTTGCTGTTTGATACTAACAAGACTTCTATATCTGCAAGAATTAATTCACCATTTTTTCAAATGTCAGATCATATGTATATGAAACGTCAGAATAAAAGCTGTGACTTTTTGAATTCATGTTTGCTCCAATGGTCAACTCATCCTGTACGAGTCTCATATGCTCGTAGATATTTGTATCTAATGACATTTGTACATGGCACGGCAGGTGTGTTGATGAACTTGAATCTCAGTTGTCGAAGCACGGGAGTCTTAAAAAACTATACTTCTATCATCAGCATCTTACCGCGGTAAGCTCTTTCTCTCTGTTTCGGTGCCTCAGTCATGAGAATAATGTCCAGATAGCTCTCTTACTGTAACAATTTCCCAAAATTTTGTACGGTAGTAATTTGTTGCAGTGATCTTATAGCTTGTCTGAAACAGGTTTTCAGGAACACCATGTTTGGACCAGAAGGACGTCCTCAACATTGCTGCTCATGGCTTGGTGTTGCTAGTAGTTTTCCAGAATGTGCTTCTGCCATTGTTCCCGAAGAGGTATTAGCGAACTTGTTTATAGAGAAGCTTTATGTTCGTTCGCATTTGGTAGCTGCATATCATAATACAGAACTTTTTGTTTCCCCTTGGTGTTGGACCTAAACTGTCTTAGGCTCAGTTCTTCAACATCTTTGAGTACTTCTCACTAATGATGAAGCAAAATGGGGAAAAAAAAAAAAACCCTTACTGAAGTTGGTGTCGGATTAATGATTGCATTGCCACCAAATTTGGTTGAAAATATTGCGGGAAATTGGTGTCTGTTATTAGATGTTACATATTAATAAGAATTTTTTTTGTAAGTTATCTGTACGTATTTTAGTGACAGCCACTCCGGAATGATAGTTGTTCTGTTTCAGTGATGGCTTTAATATGTGTATACAAACTTCACTTCTGAACTGTTGTTCTACCTGCCATTCTACCCAAACTTCAGTGGCAATGTAATGTGAGTGGTTTAATTTAATGCAGATAACTAAAGTTGGTCGCGATGCTGTTCTTTATGTCGAGTCCCTCATTGAATCGATCATGGGAGGGTTGGAAGGGTTAATAAATATTCTTGATTCTGAAGGAGGATTTGGCTCTCTGGAAATGCAGGTTGTTTCTTAATTGCCATGCTATTAATGTGAGGAATCAGTGAAGATGGTTATATTTCATGAGACTGACCCTAAGCTAAATTTCAGCTTCTTCCAGAGCAGGCAGCTATTCTCATGAATTTGACATCCAGAGGTTCACTTCATTCAGCAAAATCCCCAAAAGGCGTGTCTGGTTTTCATTTTCCAGGCTATGAGAGCTACCCTGAGAATAATAATTCCATCAAAATGTACAGCATTTAAATATTGCCCCTATATTTTCCATTTATTTTTTTCTGGGAGATTTTATGAATCACATAATTAACAGTCCTTTGGCTTCATTAAATGACAGGTTAGAAGCTGCAATGCAGAGACTGACAAATCTTTGCTCAGTTTTAAATGACATGGAGCCTATTTGTGTTCTAAACCATGTCTTTGTTCTGAGGGAGGTAAGGCCTGCTATGTCTCTGACTCCTATTTGCCCTTTCGATAGCGATGTTGGAATATTAAGGGTCATACTTTCTTGGAATACACTATGTTTGCATTTTCTTTTTTCTTCTTTTTGCTCTCGGTGATGTTCTCGTTCTAGCTTGTTTTTTGTTGTTAAGGAACTGAGCTTGAAGCTAATTCGGCAAACAAACCTAGTGCAAAGAAACACAAGCTCAACTTAAATTAATCAACTGTCATCTCTAGTTATGGTGTTGTAATATCTATTGATGGATGGTAAATACCTATAATCCACTGTTATAAATTTTAACTATAACAATGTCTCTTGTTGACTTATTTATTTACCATGGCAGAAAGAGCACTATAAGGAAAACCATCTTTTTGTCTGACAAGCAATCACACTGGCACACTTGGTGCAATTGGGAAACTCTTGCTTCACTGATATAACATTTCACATTTGGATGCATTGTATTAAATACATAAGTGGTTAGCATTTGGGGTAGAGTTCTTACGATATATCATGATATTCTGGGCTAAGCCTGAAGGGCTTATTAGCCTGTCGAGCAAGTTGAACATAAAAAGTCCTCTAAATTCTGATTTTTAGGTCGAACCATTGCCACCCTTAGTGTAGTAAAAGTAATGCATCCAACTCAAAACCATTTAGCAGTGACTGAAAAGGCTCACAATGCTCATATTAATTTTGGATTCACTATTATGACAACATGAGCCAAGTTTTTTTACATTCTTGCATGTGCAAACCCCGTTTGCATGTGGAGAGGTAAATGGAGCAACCATAATTAGATACATAACAAGGTGCACTTGNGCAGTGACTGAAAAGGCTCACAATGCTCATATTAATTTTGGATTCACTATTATGACAACATGAGCCAAATTTTTTTACATTCTTGCATGTGCAAACCCCGTTCGCATGTGGAGAGGTAAATGGAGCAACCATAATTAGATACATAACAAGGTGCACTTGTGAAATGAATATGCGGGAACCAATACCAAATCAATGAGATTAAAATAATGAGTCTTGCCCAAAGTGTTGTGAAATGCAACTCTTATACCATTTTGACCTGTATTGCAACCCAAGCCTAGGAGCTGGCTCAATATATTGGATAATGAGAAGAACCGCATCCCTTTGTGGTACTTGAGGAGCTCTTATAAATTGACTCGCCACACTAACTGCATTTGAAATATGAAACCGAGTAATAGTAAGGTTATATAATTTCCCAACTAATCGGCGATATCTTATAGGATCTCCAACATTGCCCAACTAAGCGATGGTCCCTTATAGGATCTCGAAATAACTACCTTTTGCCTAAGATAAGTTTGTGGTAAGTATTCATAGGAGTATCTAAGTTACCAGAAATCTAATGGACTCGATTCTTCTAACAAATCATAAGCATATTTCTTCCATAATAAACTAATATCACAATTAGATCTAGCAAATTTGATACCAAGGAACTATCTAAGCTTGCCTAAATCCTCGATATAAAAGTGATTCTTGGGTTCAACAGTGCGGTTTCGTTACGGTGTATGCAAGGATTAAAATATTATTTTGAAACGGTCGAAACATTCGAAACGATTCCGTTTCTAAGGAGACCGAAACGAATCAGTGATAGAATCGAAATTCTAATACTTCGAGGTGTTCTATAATGTTTCAAAATGTTTTGTTATATTTCAATGCATTTGCACAATTATTTCGGAATGTTTCAAGGTATTTCAAGATATTTTAGTATATTTTAACCAATGTTTTGAAAAAAGAATTCTTAAATTTTTTATTTTTTTTCATTCTGTTTTTGAAACGGGTCAAAACATTTATGTTTCCTAAGTGATCGAAATAATGCACCAAAATGAAATTTTGATCATTGGGTGTATGAACGCAAGATGTTTTGTGGATATTGCCTTTGTTGAAGACAGAGACAATCAAAATATATTCTTTAGCATTGTCAGGATTTAAAGTGTGTATACGATTGTCAAATTGAGTTTTAATCTCTATGCAAAATGCTTGGGTTCAATATGTCTGATTAAACGAATCAGCAAGTGTATATATATATGTGTGTGTGAGTGTATAAATACATGCATTTATATATGAATATTGTATGTTCACGAGACTAACAAGCCTAATAAACCCCTTTTTTGGGCTCGAAACATGCTTTAAATTGATCTCGAGCTCGGTTCATTTGATAAATGAATGTACTTGAAGTGTTTGGCCTTTCTTGTAATTTTGAGAGCTCATTACAGAGGTGCTCAACTATTCTTGCCTCATTTATTCGGACCTCACAAATACTTGATATAAGTTGACAAGGCATGATCCTGATCATTTGGTGTTGGTTACACTGGTTTATGTTGTCCAGTCTTCTCCATGTGAAACAATATCCTTTTGGTTAAATCAAATATGTGTTGTGTGTTGGTGTATTGCAACGTAGACTATTAAAGCATCCAACTAAAAACCAATTGTCAATGAATAGAGAGGCCCCTTAAACATATAAACCAAACTTTGACGACCTAATCATTCGATGTGGAATACAAACTCTCTTCACACTCTCTCTCAAGTGCAACTTGGACTCGCACTTGGGCCTAACAAACCAAGAGACAAACATTCCTATCAGGAAATGCAAATGGGTTAGACTTGGGCCACCCACTGTTGGCCTTGCTATGATGCCATGTTAGAGTATCCAACTCAAAACCAATTGACAATGAGTGGAGAGACCCTTTAAGCATATAAACCAATGATACAAGCTTTCTTCATACAGACCATCTCAAATGACTTTCCTTTATTTTATCTACAGGTGGTGCCCCTTCCAACCACAAAAGCACTTGTTTGTTCTTATTATTCTTTTACATTACTTATCTATCTTTATAACCTCATTTAAAAAAAGCTCATATTTGAACTTGTTTTTTAATTGCTTACATTCTATACCACAAAGCATAATGAGCATTGTGGTTATTCTATAGAACTTCCCCTTCAAACGTAGCTAGGTTTTTTATCACAATGTTCCGGAAGCATTTCTCAATTTAATTCATTCTACCCCAATTCTTTTAGCAATGCGCTCTTTAATCTCCCCTTCCTTTATGGCCAGATATTTGCTTCTGGTTTCAATTGTTGTTCATTAGATATCTCGTGGCCATCAAGTTTTATAGCGTTCCATTTCTACCTCTAGTTTCTCGAAAGTCAAGCATTCATGTTTGCTGTTATAGTCCGGCTTAATCTGAAGCTTTACATTGTGTAGTAAGTAATCCTAGTTGCAATTTTAAACAAGCCCCAGCTCTACTTTTGCCTACTAAAACTATGTTGCCACAAACAAATTGTGAAGTGAGGCTTCCTTAGTATGCTGAAAAGCTAGGACTTAAATGCAGAAGTGTGATGCAAGCTTTCTCCTTTTTTGTATGTTTGTATATTTTTGTGTGTTTCTTCATGTTTGAGTGTCCATGGTAGTTCTCTCATCTATCTTCGTACTCTTCTCACCATTGTTATAGATCCGTCACNGGACGTGTCGACACGACATTTTGATCCTTGATCCGTCATACACATGTTTGGTTACATCACTACATCTAACTGGTTCTTTTTTTCGTAAAACTCCCACTCTGTGCCCCCCCCCCGGGGCATGATCACGTGTGTTTTGTAAGTCAAACCTCACAACACTCAATATCTCAAAACAAATACCAATATGTGAAATTTTGCTCAATTGCGATGCAACACAACAATTGATCATTATTATATTGCTACAAGAAGGGAAGCATATTCTTTATCATCCTCTATGAAAAGCATTTAAAGCAAATATGATCAGAGAGAAGTGGATCCCTTTCGTTGCAGAGAAGGTAAAGTGCCTAAACAAAGCAAAAGACTATGGCATAAGCCGCACAAGAGAAAAAGGAATGACAAAATACCCAAGAACCTTCCCCACACCACCCTCCCCCCCATAAAAAAAAAAAAAAGCACAAAGAGAGGGGATATATATATATATATATACATATATATATAATGAAATAGCAGAGAGTAAATCATTAATGAGATGGTTTCAGCCTTTGCTGCAAGTTGCAACATAGAGCACTACGATGTGTAGGATTTCATTGGAAAATTAAATCGAGAGGAGAGAAGCTCCGTGAAATTAATTTTTTTTATTATTTTGGTGTTTTCCACCTCCGTAAAGAACTTATTAATAGTGGAAGACTAAGGTTGTATATCATGCTGTTGCATGAGTTGACTTGACAGATTTCTCATCCTTCCATCTTGGTCCTATTCTTCTTCTTCATGAAGGGCACTCATCTAATGTTGAGGCAATACAGAAGAACTGCAAAATATAATTCACTTTATCGGAATAGAGTAGTTAACATGTTGGTTAGAGAAAGAGGATCCTGCATGGACACAAACCTGCAGAAAACTGTATCTAAGTGAGGGAGGGTGGCAGTCACTGTCCCCAATCTGGTCACTCTTCCTGTTTGTCAATCTTGATGAGCATATAGAACTATAAAAGGTGGAGACCAAGGCAAAGTTAGATTTTACTTTGTCATCTCTTGCACCAATGACCCTCTGTATGCAACTTTAAATTGTTGTGATTTAAGTATGTTATCTACTTGGTGATCTCACAGACATGTATTGGACAATGAGTGTCACGCTTACATTGCTCTATGCTGAGTGCTGACCACCTGTGGTTTCAATGCAGTATATGAGAGAATGCATCCTTGGGAATTTCAGGAGGAGACTGCTTGCAGTACTGAAAACTGATAATGATCTTCAACGGCCTTCTGTTCTAGAATCCCTGATCCGTAGGCATACAAGTATAATCTATCTAGCAGAGCAACACATCAGCATGGACCTGATGCAGGGTATAAGAGAAGTTTTACTAACAGAGGCTTTTTCTGGCCCAGTTTCTTCACTTCACTTGTTTGAGAAACCTGCAGAGCAACATACTGGCTCAGCCACTGACGCAGTATGCAGCTGGTACATTGAAAACATTGTTAAGGACGTATCTGGCGCTGGAATCCTGTTTGCACCACTCCACAGATGCTTTAAGAGCACAAGGCCTGTTGGGGGATATTTTGCTGAGTCGGTGACTGATCTCAGAGAATTGAAATCCTTTGTTCGTATATTTGGAGGATATGGAGTTGACAGGTTGGATAGACTGATGAAAGAACACACAGCTGCACTTTTGAATTGTATTGACACATCATTGCGAGCGAACCGTGAGGTGCTTGAGGCAGTTGCTGGAAGCCTGCATTCAGGTGATCGAATGGAAAGAGAAGCAAATATGAAGCAGGTTATTGATACTGACACAGTGGTTGGGTTCTGCATTCAGGCAGGCCAGGCCATGGCTTTTGATTGCCTTCTTGCAGACGCTGCTGGAGCTGTGCTCGAAGAAGGTGCACCTTTGATTCATTCATTATTAGCAATGATTTCTAAGCATTTGCCTGATGAAATTCCTGAGAAGAAGGAAGTTAGGAGAATGAGAAGAGTGGCAAACAGTGTTGGAGTAGTTGCAGATCATGACTCTGAGTGGGTAAGATCAATTTTGGAAGAGGTTGGGGGTGCAAATGATGGTTCATGGAGCCTGTTGCCATATTTATTTGCCACTTTCATGACATCCAATATCTGGAACACTACTGCCTTCAATGTTGACACTGGGGGCTTCAACAACAACATCCACTGCTTGGCAAGGTCCACATGTTTTGATTTCCTCATAATCTAATAACCAGGATATATCCAATCCCCAAGCACCTAATGATTGTTATGCTTCAGATGGTCCATTGTGGACCTTTAACAATAGATTAGACCAATTGCAATATTGCTTGGAGTCTAGCCATTCTTACAAAATTTATCTTGAACATATGGTTGGAGGATTACATGGCATCCTGCTGCACGTGCAGAATAATTTAGCTCGCCTCTGATGGGATCCTCAATGCCCGGACAGGAGCTTGTTCCTTCCTCTCTATTTTTTTTTTTTTTTTTACGATATTTCCGTATCGGGCAATATTTTTTATTTTTTTCAAAACACTATTTCCTAAAAAGTGTGGTTCATCTTCTACAACTGTGTGTTTAACTGTTGGTTTAATCACTGTTCCTTACACTCTCACTCTATAAATTGATACAGGAGATATCTACATGTCTTAACNCAAAACACTATTTCCTAAAAAGTGTGGTTCATCTTCTACAACTGTGTGTTTAACTGTTGGTTTAATCATTGTTCCTTACACTCTCACTCTATAAATTGATACAGGAGATATCTACATGTCTTAACTAAATGATTTCTTAATTTGAGTCCTTAAATTTCTTTGGACAGATGTATTTGTGCTGTGATTGCCGGGAGTGAATTTGTTAGGCTGGAAAGGGAACATCAGCAGAAACAATCCTTTTCAAATGGCCATGTTGGTGAGGCATTGGACCGTGAGATACAGAATCATTTGTCAGCTGAAACAAGCATAAAGTCCACAATGCAGTTGTTCGTTAAATTTTCTGCGGGGATCGTACTGGATTCTTGGAATGAAACTGACAGGTACGGTGATGCTGTGTCTGCAATATACTAGATGGCCCTGAGAATATGTTTATCTCTTTGTAGTTTGTGGGTTGTGCTTGAAAACTTATATTAAACTTGCAAAGAAGATACATACATAGAAGAGTAAAGAGAGAAACGAAGTCTACTTCTCTAATATTCCATAATGATGACAAATAGGTACAAGAGACCATAATAAAACCCTACAATAAGAAAAAGGCTAGCCTTAATTTTTCAAAAAATACCAAAAATGGAAAATTGCAATTTAAGTAGTTAATACAAAAGCTCTACGAAAATTGATGGCGCTAAAATTGAAGTTTCCTCTTGAGTTATTATTGACTACCTAAATCGTTCAAAAATGGTAAAAATGCTAACCTCAAGGACTGCTTCTAGGTGCAAATTTTCAGGTGGTTTTGCTTCTAGGTCTCAGATTTTTGCTCTCTTTCCTATCCTTCTTTGTATGTTTGGCTTTTTCTTCACAATTCACCAAAAAGTTTCTTGTGGGTCTCATTTTTTCTTCTTCCTTTCTCTTTTGTTTTTTATTTTGTTCTTGTTTGAGAATTTGCGGAATTTGAAGAAGATTACACCATTTGTCTCATTTTGATTTGACTTGTCTGGTTCATACCAAGTCGATTCTGAGTTGTACCGATACGATCAAGTTATTACTGAGTCAACACCAACTTAGGTGAGACTCGAGATATTTGTGTATCGTGTACCAGAATCGGATCAATGGTGGTCGAGTTGGATACGACTGAGAGTCGGGATATTTGTGTATTGTGTACCAAAATCGCGTAGGTGGTGGTCAAATCGGATACGACTTGGTCGACTTGTAATGGTCTTGACCGATACTTTGATCCTTGGTAGGAGCCCCTCAAAATTNTTTTTTCTTCTTCCTTTCTCTTTTGTTTTTTATTTTGTTCTTGTCTGAGAATTTGCGGAATTTGAAGAAGATTACACCATGTGTCTCATTTTGATTTGACTTGTCTGGTTCATACCAAGTCGATTCTGAGTTGTACCGATACGATCAAGTTATTACTGAGTCAACACCAACTTAGGTGAGACTCGAGATATTTGTGTATCGTGTACCAGAATCGGATCAATGGTGGTCGAGTTGGATACGACTGAGAGTCGGGATATTTGTGTATTGTGTACCAAAATCGCGTAGGTGGTGGTCAAATCGGATACGACTTGGTCGACTTGTAATGGTCTTGACCGATACTTTGATCCTTGGTAGGAGCCCCTCAAAATTTTTGAATTAGAATTTGTTATGATTCATTTTACGTATGTGGCCTCACTATAGACTACACCAATGACTAACAGTTGTCAACAAAGAAAGAAGCCCACTAGAATAAATGCCTCCCGAGTTCATATCTTACTACAACTAACCAACTTCACTCCCCGTATGGCCTTTGAAGTAACCACATCTGCTGACAAGTTGTATCTAATTTTGGGGAAACAATGGTCGTGTTAGAGCATCCAACCCAAAACCAATTGACAATGATTGGAGTGGCCTCTCAAGTATATAAATCAATTTGGGTGGCCCTAATTATTCAACTTAAGATACAAGTTCTCTTACCAACCTTCTTCACGTGGGACCCGGACTCGCACGTGGGGCCAACAAACAACTATGCATACCAAGATTCAAATTAGTAAGACACTTGGTTCACTGACCATCCAAGATTTAGCTTTGATACCATGTAAGAGCATCTAACTCAAAACTAATTGGTAATGAGTTGAGTGATCTTTCAAGCATATAAACTAACCTTGGGTGCAATACAAGCTCTCTTAACTGGTTGGAGTTGATGCAGTAGTTTGAAAACTCAAGAAAATGAAGATCATCACCAAAACTAAAGAAGTCAAAGTAAAGGGTAAAATGCAAATTAAAATTTTTGTGTTTCGAACCAATTTCAGGGTGTTAATGATGTGCAAGTTTTTATGTATTTAATTTCTATTTGTTAGGTTTTAAGGTTAAAGAGAATTTTTAGGTAATCTCTAACCTGACTAGACATAGGTTGTATAGTGGTTTGTGCATCTTAAAGGTGAAGAAGGTGATCCCATCGAATAGAGTGAAATATCATAGATTAGTAGAAAGTCTTATCTATCTTTATCACACTCTCCTAGATATTGTGTATCAACGAGTTTGAAGTCAGTTTAGGCATCATACTTGGACTACTGTTCTAGAGGCTATTTTTGAAGATTGAGATTAAGTCTGTCAATAGATCGGATTTCACTCTAAATCCGTTCAATCGGTATGGACTAAAAATCTAATCGGTTTATCTAAATCCATTTAGACTTGTTAAACCAGATATGAATATGGATATATTCTAATCCGATCCTATATAAATTTGATCCAACTAATATATATATATATATATTAATATATATATATATATATATATTAAAAGTAATTTTTATATTTCTCTCTCTTAGTTTTTCTATAATTTCTCCCCCCACCTACTTTTTTGTCTCTTAATAGACACCCACTGACCCAAAAGTCTCTCTACCCTTTCCTAAGCCNTTAAAAGTAATTTTTATATTTCTCTCTTAGTTTTTCTATAATTTCTCCCCCCACCTACTTTTTTGTCTCTTAATAGACACCCACTGACCCAAAAGTCTCTCTACCCTTTCCTAAGCCCTCCTCTTTTTCTTCACCTTTTCTCTCTCTCGCTCAACTCCTGTGATCCCAGTCTCTTTTCTCTTCTCACACACGTGAATATATATATCTCCTCTTTTCTTCGTCTCTATACTTTGATTTTTCACCTCAACCTTCTCTTTTCTCTTTCCTCTCAGGCTCTCCCCTTGCTCCCTTTTTCTTTTGTCTCTTTCCTTTTTCCTTCTAGATTATGTCCCCTATCTTATTTTGGAGAGAAGATGATTGTGCCAAAAGTGGTGGAGTTTGTATGTGGTTGATTCAACCAGTTTCTCTGTTATGGGCCAAAAAAAATACTCTTTCTCTCAGGTTCTATGTCTATATCTATCTACTCAAACCTCTATTTACAACTCGTATCATGTAAGATTTGATTTGTATATTATTTTTTTTTTTGTTTAATTTTTGTTGGATTACTAACAAGATGGGGATGAAATTGAATATAAATTAATGAAATTGGGAGCTTCATTGATGAAATTTTGTTAAAATTTTGACTGTGATTTAGGGAGATTATTGATTCTTTGATGACTATAACTAGTCATATTGGACCGGATGTCTGATTATACACAGATTCAGATATGGATTAAGTAAGATTTTGATATTCGTTGGATATATAGATTGGATTTGGAATTGGATTTTTTATTGGATTTGGATTCGATTGTTTGAGATCCGGTCTGAATTGGATCCGTTAACTGGCTTAGTTGAGATATTTGAAGTCTATCACAAGAAAAAGAAATATCTGTCTCTAATCAAGGATATTTGAAGGTAGACACTTACATACTACTTTTTTTTTTGAACTGCACTTACATATTACTTCAAGTTGTTATAATTTGTTAGAGAGATATTTTGTTACCTAGAGAAGCAAAACACAGGTTGTTGTTGCTTGATCAAATGTAGAAGCAGAATATAGAGACATCACATGGGAGATTTGTGAGCTTTGTCAATTTAGTCTCAAACAACAAATTTAGGGTTAGTTTGAGATGGATTTTTTAGCCTATACTGTGATAATAAGTTCGCCAACAATAATATTCATAACCTAATTTAACATGATACAACAAAAGATATTGAGATTGATCTTCACTTGAGCTGGATAAAGGCTTGATTATGGAATTTCCGATGTTTGAAGATCTACTTATGGATGAATTTATTAACGGCCTTAGTATTAGGTCTTTTTCATTGTCTTGTTCGCAAGGTATGAGAGAGAGATGTGCTCCAACTTAAGTGGGATTGTTGGGGTATATTGTTAATATAGANAGGGCCTTAGTATTAGGTCTTTTTCATTGTCTTGTTCGCAAGGTATAGAGAGAGATGTGCTCCAACTTAAGTGGGATTGTTGGGGTATATTGTTAATATAGAGTAGTTGAGTGGTACTCTTGTATTTTCTTGGATTATGTTTAATATTTATATCTTACGCATTCTCTTCCCCTTTCCTTTCTTTTCTTCTCTAGTCTACTTTTTCAAATTTCAACGGTTTCCAAGTCTAGTCCTACATCACTTGCACAAGCTAAATTCAAGCTCAAATGAATTTGATGAAATTAAGTGTTTATGACGTCACCCCTAGACTTCATTCAGTCAAGTTGAATTGGGCAATTTTTGGTTTGACTTACCAAACTTAATGCAAGTACTAAACTTTCGTTCCGATGCAGAGTTTCAATCACCTTGGAAATAGAAACATTGTGGAAATGAATGGAAAAAGAGAGAACTTGGAATTTTTTTTTTTTAAATATTGACCAAAACACATTGAAATAAACTAAAATATCTCGAAANAGTTTCAATCACCTTGGAAATAGAAACATTGTGGAAATGAATGGAAAAAGAGAGAACTTGGAATTTTTTTTTTTAAATATTGACCAAAACACATTGAAATAAACTAAAATATCTCGAAACATAAGAATTTCAATATTAAATCATTGATTTGTTTAGGTTTTCATGAAAAATTTCGGCTGTTTCGGTGGAAACGAAACAAAATTTAATTCTTGGAAATGGCACTTTATGGTGTACCAAAACTATCTTGGTCTTGATATAAATACATATATGTATGTGTGCGTGTGTGTGTACGGCTGCTTCATTCGTTTACATTCTATTGCAGTGTTCATGCTCCAAAATGGGATAAATTATGATACATATTTTATACAAAAATTACCTTTTTCCAGTGATAGAACCTTGAGCCTCTTCATAGCAGAACTCCATTATCCTAGAGAAAATATGGAGTCGCCAATCACCTTAGTGGTTCCTTATGTGTAGTAGTTATCAAGGCTCCATTTATTATTTGCAAAGAACTACGAAACAATGAAAAAATTCTCAAAAGTTATGCAAAAAAAAATCCATTCTCAAGCATTTATATTTCACAGTTACGTGTTCTTTAGAGTTTCAATGGAACCTGGAAAAAGGGAGTCTGGCATTGCATCTGCAAACTTTCCAATCAGGGATCTAACCATTGAATTCTCTCTTAATCAATTCACAAACTGCATAATAAGGATTTTTTCACATTACTTTCATCTCGCTCTTAACCATATCCCTCTTTGCAATTCTTAGCATTGTTTACCTTCTACAAAATTGTATATATCTACATTCCAATAGCATGCAGTGTTTAAAGTAGGGCTGTCAATTTTAGACACAATACTTTAATACAACACAAACCGAACACAAAATTAAACGGTTAGATACGAAATTAAACAAGTCAATAGGTTAAAACGAGTCAACACGCTTAAATATGAAAAAAATCATGTCAAGTTCATGTCAAAATCAGGTCAACCCAATTTTGACCTGATTAACCCATATATTTTAAACGGGTTGACATGATATGAACACGAACCCGATCTAACCAATTGTAGAACCGTTTAATCTATTTATTACAATATGGTTTGTCAATTATGTATGACTGATGTGGTTTAATATTATTACTCATTAGTTCTTGTTTCTACTATGATAATTGGTAATATAGTTTTTTAATATTATTATAACAGTATACTAGTATAGTTCTTGCTTTAATTTTTGGGTTAAAACTTGAATGCATTTTAGTTAATTTCATTGATGAGATGTGGTATGTTATTTGTGAAAAAATTATTTGAAATTTTGGATGAATGATTGAATGGTGTATTTAATAATAATGAACAGGTGTAGAAACAAGTTTTGTGTGTTAAATAGGTCTGTGTTATGTGTATTAAACAGGTTAAATAAATCATGTTATGTGTGTTAGTCCGAAAACGACCTGTTTATTAAGCGTGTCAAACAGATTAGGTTTGGGTAACCCGTTTAATGGTCAAGTCAGATTAGTGTTTACACATCTCGACACAATTTATTAAACAAGTCATTGTCAGGTTTGAGTTTTTGGGATTTTCAACACAAATTCGAAATCAACCCGACACAAAATGACTCAATCCGACATGTTTGACACCCCCGGTTTAAAGGATGTTTTTCATTTCTGTCAACTATACAAAATTGTTATGATAGATAATAAAAAAAAATATAAGGTTGGTAAATTATTATTATCCAGAAGATTTTTTCATCATTCAAATAATCTGATTTTGTCTATACATTCCTGAAAAATGTGTAATACTGTGGTTTCGCTAATAAATTATTGTTATTCTCCTTAGGGAATAGGAACTAATTAAGGTATGCACATGGGCAAACACAAATTACTTTGACGCTTTCAAGCTTCCCAAATCTCTGAGTCTTCTTTGCATGAGAGTTTTCTTTCACCCCCAACCTGCTCCTTCCTCTGCTCCTGCAGTTTCTTGCTTGATTTTCTATTTATCTTACCTCCTCACATCTCTGTACACCAGTCTTTTTTCCTTTCTTTATATGGAAACGATGTGAATTGGAAAACCATCACAATAGAATTGTCATATATATGACTTTATTTTTCCATCTTTTATTCACTTATGTTACTGTTTTAGAAACTTGTACTCCTAGCCAGTATTCTCTCCTAGGGAATTGTCAGACAAACAGTTTGAGAAGGAAATGGAATCAGAAAAAAGAGAAAACAAAACCTCTTCATCATCTACTGATGCTGATCAGTTTTGGCCACCAACTTATTCCTTTTCCTNAGCCAGTATTCTCTCCTAGGGAATTGTCAGACAAACAGTTTGAGAAGGAAATGGAATCAGAAAAAAGAGAAAACAAAATCTCTTCATCATCTACTGATGCTGATCAGTTTTGGCCACCAACTTATTCCTTTTCCTTGTGCCAATGTACTATGCTGACTTGTAAACAATGTTAAAAGAAACTAAGCTATTTCAGATGCACATATTAAGAGATCATAGTGCAACTATCTCAGGACAAACTCATCACATATCTGACTTTGATTGCAGCAACGTCTGAGGTGAGGGAGCAGCCTAGTGCTAAGGGCTCACTTCCGCCCGTAGGTGGTTGCATCCCCCCCCCCCCAAAAAAAAAAAAAACACACACACACAAGGCTGCAGAAACATCTAAGAAACGTAGAAGGCATTGAAGTCCACTTTCTTGGTTTTGGTGACTGAAAATGAGGTTGTAATTTAATTGCTTAGGGGGTCATTTAGAGCTATCCTAGGAGTGATGCATCATCAGTGTCTAATTCCAGTTTTTTGCTTTACATGTTGTAAATCCATTATGAAAGGTGAACTTGCATCTAAAATCCTAACCAAAAATAGGAAGGGATTCATTCCTCCATTTGTTTATATATCGGGTTCACTAGATTTGGATGTGTCGATTGACCATGGGAATAGAGTGATGATATTGTCCTCATGGTTCAAGAATTGCTAACCATTAATCTCTTTGGTTTTTTTTTTCTGCAGATCTCATCTTGTAGCAAAGCTCATTTTCCTGGATCAGTTTTGTGAGATCTCGCCATACATGCCAAGAAGCTCACTTGAACCCCACATCCCCTATGCCATTCTCCGCTCAATATATAGCCAGTACTACTCAAATTCTCCTTCCACGCCACTGGCATTATTAAGTGTATCACCACACCATTCTCCTGCTGTATCTCTAGCACACGCGTCTCCCGTAGTACGGCATCCTCGTGGCAATTCAACTCCTCAGTCAAGTATTAATGATTCGGGTTACTTTAAGGCGTCATCAACCCATAGCCATGATCAGCTATATGATAATGACAGTGGAAATATGCGAAGCATCGATATCAAACATCGGAACGTGAGGCGGTCTGGTCCATTAGACTATAGCTCAGGCCGCAAAGTGAAGTTTGTTGAAGGCTCAACATCAGGGAGCAGAGGTCCCAGCCCACTGCCAAGATTTGCTGTGTCAAGATCTGGTCCTATATCATACAAGTAGAAATACAGCCTACATTGAACAAGGGAAATCATCGATGTCTATTTCCTGTCAATGACGAGTAATCTCAGTACAGAAAGCAACCACTGTAAGGTCGTAAATACAAATTTTGGCAATATTTATCTTTGCAATTCTCATACTGATCATCGTCATATAACACTTCTAATTTTACATGCTGCTTGAGCCATTAACCAGAATGCTGATCAGAGTTAGATGTGTCCAGTGCAGTTCCTTCACGGTAGTATAATTATTCCTGCTTGGGATTTCACAAAATCATTACTAACCTTTGCGAAGATTTATGATAAAATATTTTATTTTGCAACCTTGGCCTTTCATGGCATTAACGAAGGCTTGAAGTAATAATTAATTTTGACAGTTTATAGTTTGCCATTAAGGTTCTTATGCATTAAGAATTAGATCCAGGGTGACTTCCAGAACCTTTTTCAACTATTTTGGCATTTTCGATTAACGTTCACAATGACAAGTTCTTGATTCTCGAAAAATGAAGGGAGTCGGATCCTATTATGGTTTACAAAACTGCTTTTGTACATTTTTTTGGGTGGAGAAATCGTACAGTGATGTGGTAAGAGCAGTGANTAACTTCCAGAACCTTTTTCAACTATTTTGGCATTTTCGATTAACGTTCACAATGACAAGTTGTTGATTCTCGAAAAATGAAGGGAGTCAGATCCTATTATGGTTTACAAAACTGCTTTTGTACATTTTTTTGGGTGGAGAAATCGTACAGTGATGTGGTAAGAGCAGTGATTGTGTCGATGGGAGTTGACCTTAGTTTTACTTTGAGACAAATGGGCAAAGCATGAAGAACTCACTGTACGAGTTTTGATATGTGGAATGTATTGGTTTTATACATATGTGCGCCTGATGGGTAAGGATTTTGAACAATCCAATACTGCAATGATGATGAAGTCTCATATTGAACATAATATTGGTTCTGTTCTACTAAGCATAGTTTGACTTTCAGCTACCTTGATATAAAGTGTATCTGTTATTCTTTTGTGTGTGTGTGTGAGTATATATTCTTGTTTGAACATTCCGGTAATGCAGTGACCATGAAGTATCATAGAATGTATTGGTTCTGTGTGCTCNCAGCTACCTTGATATAAAGTGTATCTGTTATTCTTTTGTGTGTGTGTGTGTGAGTATATATTCTTGTTTGAACATATTCCGGTAATGCAGTGACCATGAAGTATCATAGAATGTATTGGTTCTGTGTGCTCCAAAGCATAATTGGACTTAATAGCTATGTTGTGAGTCAGTTTAGCCCGTTCTTCGCAATATCTGCCTCTAAGCCTTGCTCCATTTTGTTCATCTCACTTGTGTCCTGCAAATGATAAGAGAAGTAATCTTGGTTGCTTAGACCCTAATTTGTGGTCGACTCATGCTTTTCTTCTATCTCTATGTGGTTCAGACCTAGCACGGTATCTTCTTCTTGTTTGAAAACACGTCCATTTTTTCCTTATGATTTTGAGGCTATCCCTTCCTTTTCCTTTTCCTTTGAGAAGTGAAATAAAATTAAAAAATTAAACTCCTAAATCTTAAAAGTTTGACTAATATTAAAATTTTTTCTCTCTCATATCNTGAGAAGTGAAATAAAATTAAAAAATTAAACTCCTAAATCTTAAAAGTTTGACTAATATTAAAATTTTTTCTCTCTCATATCCATCTATATCCATATATAGGTTAAGAGTTTGATTAACATTAAAAAATTTTCTCTCTTATTTATATATATATAGGTTATATATATGTGTGTGTATATATATATAGTTACATTAAAAATACNTCAGACCTAGCACGGTATCTTCTTCTTGTTTGAAAACACGTCCATTTTTTCCTTATGATTTTGAGGCTATCCCTTCCTTTTCCTTTTCCTTTTCCTTTGAGAAGTGAAATAAAATTAAAAATTAAACTCCTAAATCTTAAAAGTTTGACTAATATTAAAATTTTTTCTCTCTCATATCCATATATATCCATATATAGGTTAAGAGTTTGACTAACATTAAAAAATTTTCTCTCTTATTTATCTATATATAGGTTATATATATGTGTGTGTATATATATATAGTTACATTAAAAATACAAAATAGTAACATTCAAATACAAAAATAAATTATCATTTGGAGACAAAAAATAATACATTTAACCACAAAAAAATAGTAACATTTAAACATAAAAGAAATTGAAACATTCAATATTAATATTTTAAAAAAATAAGAAAAGTAATATGTTCAACAAAAATAGTAACATGTTTAACAAAAATTGTAACATATTTAACAATAATTATTTCTCTCAAATTCAAACGCAGAAAATAGTATCATTCAAATACAAAAAATAGTAATATTAAAAAAAAATAGTAACATTGAATATTAATATTTAAGAAAATAATAATAGTAACACGCTCAACAAAAACAGTAACATGTTCAAAAATAATAGTATATGAACAGTAGCATACTCAACAAAAGCAATAACATGAACAATAACATAATAAAAAAATAGTAACATAAATTTGAATTTTACTATTCAAATTCATAGTAACTTTTTTTTGTACTTGAATGTTACTATTTTTTTTTAATGTTACTATATATATATATATATATATATATAGATTAGAGAGAGAAAAAATTTTAATATTAGTCAAACTCTTAACCTATATGGGCTCGTTTGGTAGACGTATTATGAGAGGATTAAATATTGGATTGTATTTTTTTTAATTTAATCGGACCTAATACTTTGTTTGGTAAGTAAATTTGATACCGTATTAGTTTAAAAAACGTATACTTATCGTATCCTTATCATATATTTTTATACGTTAGACATGTATTATGGAGGTATTTTAATACCACCAAAAGAGGTGGTATTATAATCCAACTCAAACGTATTATTATACACATTTACCATTATAACCTTCTAACTGATAAAATCAAACTGTCGTCAATGTAACAAACACTTATTAAGAGTATTTTTGTTAATTCAACATTAATCCGATAAAATAATTCTTTAACCAAACAACCGATTGGATTAAATAATTATCATTCAACGTTTATGTTGTGTATGACCAAACACTAGATAAAATTATGTATTATTCTAATATCATATTTAATCTTGTCTTTTGTCCTTCTGTATTGTATTAGACCGAATTATTTTATCTAATCCATCCATTTTTAATACGGCAACCAAACGAGCCCTATATGGATATAGATAGATTTGAGAGATAAAAGATTAACCTCCTCTCAAAGAAGGGTATTTTTGAGATAAAAAAAAAATAGACTTAAATCATTACATATAATTTTAAACATGGATTTAACCCCTTAGAAATTTCCTTGCAGAACTTATCTCCAAACAAGTACATTTAGGAGGACTCACTTCTAATTTTCACTAATTTTTACTATTAGCAGCATAGATGTCGGTGCAATTGGGGCGAGTCTAGTAACCCTTACTCACCCAGATTATTGTACTTTATATTTTGCATATTTTTCAATGGAAGTTTTTTTTTTTTAATGGGGCAAGTTTTCATGAAATTTAAACATTTTATGCATTTTTTTTTTATTTTTATTTTTTTGTTTTTCTAACAAAGTTACTTTGAATGCTGGTGGGAAAATTTTCTCTCCCTCTAGCCTTCAAAGATTCAAATATTTTGGATTTTGACTATAATAGTGAAACACTTTCCATATTAAACTGCAAATTCTCAAGGAATTCTTCTTAGGTAATAATATTTTGAATATGCGCTTGTGTGCATATAATTTCTTCATCTTCTTGTAGGAGGCATATGTAATTTTCTTCTCTTTGATATTAATGGTTACAAGCTTTCTAGTAAAAAAGTGCTTTTGATAATCCTTGGATAACTCAACTTTCAACTTGGTGTTATAACTGATCAAGTTCAACTGTCAAACTTATATTTTAGCTCGAAACCAAGCTCAATTTCTCAACAAAAATTCCATAAAATTAAACTTCTAAGTTTATAATCAACCCAAAATAATTAGTTTCTCAACAAAAAGAAACCTTACCTTTGTATCGTATCATATTATACTTATCAACCCCCCGGCCCGGCCCGGGAGATTGGTTGTGATCAAAGTGAATCTGTTACATTTTCCATCCAAAGTAACAAAATGAATACAAACGCCCAAAAATCGATATGCATTGTCAAACCCATTTTTCCTCCAAAATACTTATCCTTAATGTCCAAAGTGCTCCTTAAACTTGTATTATAAGCCTCATTCTTTAACCAGTAGTAAGTAAGGAGGGAAGAAGTGGAAAGGGAGAATACACTTGAGTGAAAAAGAGCAGGCCACCAAGAGGTGATATTTCCCATTAATCTTGTTTTTTTTTTCTATTATTATCTTCATAACTTTTATTTATTTATTTATTCTATTGTTTCTATAACATTGTACAAGATGTCTAGTTCAAGTAATGTGTTTGAAGATGGAGGTGCAGTTGAGGAGAAACTTGGCCTGCGGTGTGTAACAAGGAAATCTTTTGTTGTGTTAGAGCTGCAATTAGGGTTGTGGAAACAGAAAGGCCAAGCAAGGGGCAGCTTTATAATGTGTGAGAAAGGAAGGAATGCAAATTTTTTTGTTGGTGTATACCAGAAACAGCAAGATGTATGGAGTCTATCTGGATCTCTGTGGGCTTCTGGCAGCCAGCATTGCAAAGACAAGACTATTGACAACAATTACGTTAAGGTTAAAATATATATGAAGTCAATATGTCAATTTTGAAGAGGTTTGAAGTCAGTACCTTGATTGTGTATGTACTAAGCTTTGTAGTGAACTACGTGATGCACAAATAAAGCTCATTTTGTTTATTATGCAATGATAAAATGTTATAGTCATAAACAACACAATCACCCAACTAAGACTTTCAATGAGAGTACTCAAAAGCATATACTAGCTAAGTGACATAACTCAGAATTTAGTGGCAAAAGATACACATTATGTCACATGAAATTAGCATACTTCCTAAAAAAGTCATAATCAAAACAAGTATTTCATAACTATAAGTGATTAAAGTTTCGCTACAAGAAAAAAGCTTCGTTGCTTCGGAGTTATTTGCTGCGGTCCAATGCTGAAGCAAAAAATGGATTCTTGCTTCAGCTAAATACCGAAGCATATACTATATTTTTTGTTTCGGCATAATCTACTGAAGCAAAAAATAAGAGTATTTACTTTAGAATTGAACCGAAACAAAAACTTTAATTCAAAACGAGTAATTTTATGTTAATTCGTCACAAAACGACATTTTTCATGATAATTCAAATGGGCTTTTGAGGCTGATTTTTGTGCGGCCGAATGCCAAAGCAAATATATTTTTTTGCATCGACAATTAAAGCTGAAGCAATTAATTTTTATCCCGCCCAAAAATTAAAATTTTTCAATCCACCGCTAATCAAGCCCTAATCTCAAGCATTCCCCTTTCTCACGCCCCTCTCTCGCCCTTCTCTCTCAGTCTTCCTCTTCCCTCACTCTGCTAGTTCTTTGCCATCACTTTACTCCTATCTCGTCATCGATCCTTTTGATTTGGCAGATAGCCAAAGCAAAAGCCCTCTTTTCTTGTAGTGTCTTCCTATTCCTGATCATCTGCAATAGGCTTGAAATGGTTGGGCTCCATTCTGTCCCACTCTAATAGCTCCACCTCTACCAGATCCACTGGCTACACTTGTACCAGATCCAACAGCTTCACCATTTCCTCTACCAGATGCCGTCTGTCCATCATTTGCATTTGCACTTCCCCTGCCAACTGCACCATTTCCTTGGTTTGGACAACTTCCACATGCAACTACAAGGTTATTTGATGCCTTGAAAGGATTTATGGGCACATCTGGATCCCTCCTCCTCCTCCTCCTCCTCCTATTCAGTTTATTTGGCCTTCCAAGTTGTTTTCTATAGTAAGGAGTTAAGATTGGATCATATCCTGCTTCAATCTAATAATGATGACAGGAATCATGTATTTGTAAGCCTCCAAATAGATTTCTTTTGTGTAACAGTTTTGCACATAGTCCTCTGGTAATTGTCTAAACTTTTGAATAGCATTCACTGCATGTTTACAAGATATGTCAGTCAAATCCCACATCCTATAACCGCATGTTTTGTAACGCCTGATTTTTTAGATGAGTTAGTTAATAAATCGACCACAATATACTACAAATATATATATATATATATATATATATATATATATATCAAAGCTCTGAATACCTCAATAAAAATTATAATTATAAATTTAATCTCCAAAGAGCAATAAAATTTTTAATTTTTAATTATAATTATAAATTTGATTTCTCTCTCTCTCTCACTCAAAATTGGACAGAGCATGGGTCAAATAAAACAGAGCATCAAGGGAGGGAATTTTGGCGCTTAAACCCTTACACAATAGGTGAAATATCGAAACTGCCCTTCACTATATGACATCTGCAGTTGTCGTTAGGGTTTTATCCCTATTAATGTTGGAATCTAACGGAAGGTGTTGATTAAAATGATTTAAATAATTCAGGTGGTAAAATCAAAAAAATGAAAGTTTAGGGTGCAATTTAAAACAAACAATAAAGTTCAGGGACCATTTATATGGTTTACCCATTTTTCTTCCTCTTCTTTGATAGAGGAATAGTTTTAGGTCAATAATCTTTTGGGCAAGTATTGTTTGCTAAGCAAATAAGAACTACTTATACACAAAAAATCTATTTGAGCTGAACCGAGCCTAGCCTACTTTAATTCAAATTATTTGGATTCGAATCATTTACAAAATGAGTTTAAAAATTTGACCAAATCAAATTCATTTTATAGTTTTAACAAACATGAACAAGATAAAATCAATATGAGCTCGAGTTGCTCAAATCGTTTATTTTTCTATACATGGATACTATGTATATGTTTCTAGTGAAGGGGTTGAAAAGATAGATAAACTAATTGTCCCTTGCTTTGATTCTATCTTGGGATTTTAAATTCTTACTTTCTGCCTTCAAGTTTTTTTTTTCTTTTGAATTGAATTTTGGCTTCAATGGTACTAAGAAGTACACTCTCATACAGTCTTATAAAGTGGACATTGTATTCCCAGAATATAATTTTCAGTAATCCATTAGCGTGTGAAAAATTATTTTAGCTTGAGCATTCCTTTCTCAGCATATTACTATGCTGTTTATTTTATATCTTAATTTTGTAGAAAACTTGCATTAAATTTCTTGGTTTTTCTTCCCACATTAGCTTATGACAGGATGTTAGGCGGGCATGCCAATAAAAACTTGACACGTAGATATCCCCAACTATCAGAACGTGAACAATTTTTCAGAAGAAGAAGCTGAGCAAGTAGGATACTCAGGACCGAGTATGCTATTTGGAACCTACCATTAAATGAACTATGACAATTCATTGATGTTGACCGTATTGGTACGACAGACCATTAATAGTTGTCTAATTATTGAAGGACATGAAAGCAATCATTATTACAAAGCATTAATGACTACTAGGCTGAAGAGAGGCCCTTGGGGGCTTCCGAGGGAATCTAGTCTCTTCTCATAAATGCTCAGTTATGGGCTCTGAGTACCTATGCAAAGCATTTGATGGCTGATGATCGAACCATGAATGCTCGGCGAGATCCCAAGAAAAGATTCAAGCGTCTAGACACTTAACATTAATGAGACATGACAGAATAGCACTCATTATGCTAGATTGCGAACCCAGTCCATTAAATTCTAATATAAGACTCTGGATAAGAGTTATCATTACAAATCTAAATATAAATACCTCTTTAAAAACTAAGCTAAAGTATGCAATTTGAATCCAAAATATATTGTGTTTTCATTCAAACGCTAACTGACTTAAGTATTGGAGGGAATTAACTAGGTGTACACCCAACCCCTTTCTCAATTCTTTTTCCGTTTCAGGTTCACCATTTAGAATTATTCTGAGAATCGCTATCTCAATTCATTGCAAGAATTCCCCGGCGCAACATAAATTCGCATAGGACAATCTGTTCACTCTCATAGCAATTTCTCTCCTGTTTCTAAGAATTAAAAAATCTAACTAGTACTGTAGTACATAAATGAAGTCGATGCAACCTTAATTTTTGTTCACAGAAACAAGTTAAAAAATATATACTTTCTTCAATGTCTAGTTAAAACCTAGTTGATGAGATCGAACCTTAGCACCCTGTTATTTTCTTAGTAACCGCACCTTTCCGATGGGGACAAGACACCCAGAAACTTTTGATGAGGTTGGGGCCTTGGGTCATTTCTCCAATACGATGATCACAGACTAGTTATTTATCTTCGAGTTCTCATAGCTATCTCCAAATAGTTTAGACAAAAACATTGTTTAGTCGAGTTGAGTTGAATTGATACTAGTTAAGCCCATTTCTTCTGGGGCTTGAGAGGACACTATTTAGGCAAGAGATCGCTATTATAAGGAGAACTAGAGATCACAAAATGAAATAATACAACAAATAAACTAGAATAAAAGGGAAGTGCATATCTTGTTTTAGCACAATATGCCCCTCTAGCTAGTTACAATAGTAAATTCAAATCACAGATTGCTGGTCCAGTATAGATAGCAAAAGCTTGCAGGAGTATGTTACTCATTCGTAATTACATACAGCGACCAGAAGCACTGTACAACATATATAAAAGATAATTACAATGTAACTAACAAGTATCATACGTGTAACAATCGATTTATGCAAACAAAGAGAGAAATCTGGCCCAATGCAAAGGAGGTAATCGGATTTGACTCAACGGAGGTGATGCCTGCAAAAATTCCAATGAAAACAGGGAAGGGTTGGCATTTAGAACATGAGGAAAACATAAGAGCGGATATGGAATCAGGGGGGAAAGGAAAGACATATCATAAGGAAAACCTCAAAGTTTCTTTTGTTCCACGTCGAATTTTGCAACGGATCGTGGGGAGCCCTAGGCGCTGGTGAGCCTCAAACCGGTGACAACCAGAGAAGCCTGTAGGCATACAGAACTTGAATCTTATAAAAGCAATTGAATGTCAAGATATTGGAGTCCAGCAAAATGAAATCTCTATAGAGTGTGTTGCACCAATTATTTGTCTTTCATATTTTGATTTATTTTTCTTTGGCAGTTTTCTTAGTAAGTGGAAATCGTTATTCGAATGGATGAGAGACATTGTAATTAATAGTTTTTCAGGAAATATACAAAAGGACACATACCATAGTAAACTCCCTCAACCTCAAGCACATCAATCTGCATGTATTCCAGACAAAGATTTTAACAAAATATTTTCCGATAAGAAACATATTCATTTAAATTTCAATCTGAATTATAAATATAGGCTCAATCCAAATTCTTTGAAGTTTTCTAGTGTATACCTTCTATGTCAACTAAACAAATCTTCCATTTTTTTGATCAATCGTTGCGCTACACGATGGAGGGTAGTCCTCCCTACCCAGACCCCTTGTCATGAAGATGGTGGTGGGATTTGATCCCAAGTTTCTGATATGACATCCTTACAGGCATATTTCTTGGCATTTTAACTTCTTGACTGGCCATCTTGTCGAAGTTATCGTTGCACTTTATAAGTATAATATTGCCAAATGATACTAGTATGTTCTTTCCAAAATTATTCATTTTGATACCAGAATAGATGATGACCTCTTCAAAATAAGATCATGTATTTGTGTATCTCTTCCCTAACAATATATAGTGTTCCCACAATTTCACTCCTAGTTGTTAGTCTTTTCGTGGTTTCTACTAGCCTCAGCTGTTACTTTTATTTAACTCACAAAAATGTCACAAGTCTTGTTACGACTAGAAATATGACATGAGACCTTGTTTGCATAAATCACATTATTGGATATAGAAGATAAGGACATATGCATTGTTTGGTATATAACGAAGACCACAATTTGATGGCAAGGAATCAACCAACTTTGCCTCATAACCATGAACAAATGCATTTGATCACCAAGATAAAACTGAAATAACTGTGAGCATCTAAACAAACTTGTGAAGGGTGGACAGGAAAAGAAAACTTCAAACAAGGAATTTTTTTAACAAAAGTTTTGATTAAAAAAACAAAGACTTCTAAAAGAAATCCTTTAACTCGGTGGTAAATGTTTTGATTCTCAATCGATAAAGTAGTCACCAAGTATTGGGTCCCTTTAACTTTTCAAAAAAAAAAAATCGTCAGATTAGAACATGTGAAAAAGAAAAATAACCAAGTCCTGGGTTAAATTGGGACTAGTCTATGTTAGTTTTAAGATTATAATCGGCTGCTATAGTTCAATTTATGTTTTATTACATTTTAAAGCTCAATGGTACTAGTAACTTCAATAGTGTCGCTGGACTTGGACTGCACTTGTGATCCGTGGATCTTAATCAATGTTACCTGGATCGTGGGTCACTTTGGTATATGATACGGGTACGAGTACATGGTACAACACTTTCTTAGGGACACGGTACGATGGGAGCAGGTTTAGCTGATACTTGGGTCGCAATTTGTTTTGGAACTCTTATGTAGATCGTTTTTACTACTATACAATATTATATATTACAAATCATTCATAAATACTAAATTAGTTATCATTTATCTTATAGTTGTGTTTAATTTTCCATTATGTAAAACAATATAATTATAAATCTATAAACATGTAGTCAATTAATATGTATTTTATATTTGTATTGCATGTTCTAAAGCAAATTGATTTAGGGTTAGTATTACAATTTAGAGTCGTCTATTTTGATGATCTAGATTGCGAACCTACCTCGTTTGGGATCAATGTACCTAAATCATGGGTCGTTAAGGATTTAGTGAATTGTGGTAACCATGGTCTTAATTTGGGCTCAATTATGTTATTTGGTTTCTTTTCTTCTTTTTTTTTTCTTTCTTTTGTTCTACTACTTATATTGGCATTGATTTGAGCACCTACATTCTCCAACCGTGGTAATCCTCATTTGTGTGGCCCAATCCTTACATTCCATAAAAACTCACCCCCAAAAACCACAAACCACCAAAAATCAACCTTGTTATTGTTCACAGGTACTGCTGATAGCTCCCTGAACAAACCACAAAGTCCATCTTTTCTTGCCTATTTACAATCCTTTCCACCGTTGCTACATAATATGCAAACTTTAAAGTCAACAAACTTCTCTAGGCTTTTGGCCACAAAACACACATTAATCAGCTATAAAAATCCCTCTCTCCAGTGTCCAATATCAGAGACTACTTCATTGTTCTTGTCCAATACCACTCATTTTCACCATAAAACCCTTCGTACCCTATACAGTACACATATTTTGTGAGCAATGTTTTATAACTCAACTGCATTTAATAAAAAAAGTAATCCCAATAAGAGATAAATATCCATTATACTTTAACATTCTGACCATTACATTGATTCAAAGCAAGAACGACCACCTCAAGATCACTAGCACAGGAACACCAACTTGAACAGTTGAACAGCTGTTGATAAATAAAAAAAAAAAGTTTTCTGCACAGGCATAAAATTGCCTGCTTGGCTTAGACTATATTATCAAGCAATGCAGTTTGTAGGTCTAATCCAATTTTTTTGCAACATATTTAAATTTGAAGGATTTCTCCCGTACCTTCCACTTTCTTTTGAAGTTTCCTCCATTCCCCATTCTACCACAAGAACACCAACTTGGCCAACTTAAAAAATAAAATCATGCACAGGCATAAAAATGCCTGCTTGGCTAGAAAATATTATCAACCAATGCAACTAGTAGGTCTCCTTCTAATTTTTTTTCCTGCAACATATTTAAATTTAAATACTCCCCCCATCCCTTCCACTTTCTTTTGAAATTTCTCTCTATTAAAGCATCAAGGGGTCCCTTAAGCATATTAATCAACCTTTATGGCCTTAATCATTTGATATGAGATACAAACTCTCGTTATACCCTCTCTCACGTGGGACCTGGCTCGCACGTGGAGCTAACAATCAATCAGACAAATATACATACTGAAAAATTCAAATGAGTAAGAGACTTGATCTACTAACCATCTAAGGCTAGACTCTAATACCATGTGAGAGCATGCAACTCAAAATCGATTGATAATGCATAGAGAGGCCCCTTAAACATATAAATTAACCTTGGGTGATCCTAATCATTCAATATGAGATACAAACTCTCTTTACACTTTCATTTCCTTTCTAGCATAGGCACACAAACTTGGCCAACTGTTAAAAAAAACAAAGGCCCATGCACTGGGATAAAATTAATGTAATTAATCGGTCTACTCCCAATTTTTTTGGCAACATATTTAAATTTAAAAGGTTTTCCCCCATCCTTTTACTTTTGAAGTTTCCGCCATTCCCCCATTCTAAAATTCAAAATCCCCCCCCCCCCCAAACAAAAGAAAACAAAAAAAACAAAAAATAAAGGGGGCCATTCTCTTCCAAGGTGATGCATCAAGGAGATAGTTTTTGTCACCAAACTATTTTAGAATAAATTTGGAATGACAATTGATGTAGGGCAGCCCCATTGGTGAAAATTCAGTTATGAAATAAATGTAGCCTATCAGTATCATTGGAAAGAAATATGATAAGAATTACGTCTAGAACTAGATTTAGAGTTGCTAAAATTTAAACATGGTAGGAAAGAAATTGAAGGTGGAGGGAGTTTGACCCTTTCAGCAGAAATAATTACACACCTAACACTTTTTCAGCTACTCGAACTCAGCCCCCAAAACTATAGCATGAATTGCAATTCCAACCTTAACCTATATTTTTTTTTTTAAATTGAGCTCTCCAACTTTGCAATTCGAGCTTGCGTTAACCTTCAGTCTGATTTCTTTATTTTCTAGCTAAAAAAACACGTCTCTATGTAATTGCTCCTATATGGATATTTTTGACAAGTCATAAAAGATCTCAACCATCCAAACCCAACTGTCGGACCCACTACACAATCAACCCCTTACCTCCCTCATCTTCTTCTTCTCCTCCTTCATCCTGCACCAACTCTTCTTCTGCACTACGATTAAAAGATCATCAGTCAACAGCCTTTTAATATTGTGTTCCTCTAATCTTACAGCCTCAGCAACTATTTGACCATTTTCAACACCCCTGATCTAACAGCCATTGGCAAGTCACTGAAATAACATATGAACCTGGCAACTCTTTGGTCAACAATTCAACAAAGTCTTATCCTAACCAATTGTTAACTATTAATTTCGTTTGAGTCTTTGTTGATGGACAATCTGAATCAACAAGAATATCAGTGATTTCACTTTTGGGTTTCATCCCTGACAAATCAGATTTACCTCCAAATTTTCCTAGCAGAAATAGGGTCCGAAAATAAACTTCATTATTCATGCCATTTTAACAACCATTCCAAGTAGAAGAATAGGAGATAATGTACTGCTCGCTCAAGAATTCCTAAGAGACTACCACAAGAATAGAGGGACTCCTAAATGTGCTATCAAGGTTGATCTAACAAAGGCATTTCACCTATGAAGCACGGATACGGATATGGATACGGATACGGGTATGATACGATACGGATATAGCGATACGACAAAATCTAAAAAAGTAGGATATAGGTACGATTAAAATACAGCTATAATAAAATATATTTAATATTTTTATTATTTTCAACCAGCGTAATACTTAAATATTTTGATAGTTCTTTAACACAATAAGGAAAATTAATAATTCTTTTTAGTTTCAAGAAAATATATATCGTATCATTATGGTATATTCACAAAATGAAGTGATTAATGAAAGGAATTAAAGCTAATATTTATCGAGCTGATTTATTTAAAAGTAATTTTTGTTAAGATTATAATATAATAGATTTATTTTATGCTCTTTAGACATGTAATTGTAAATAATACTTAAATAATACTCATGTGCCTAAATGTATTGTATGGTATGTGAATTCAAAATGAAATGTTAAAAATTCAAACCAAAAATTATATATATTGCTTGAACACAAAAAGTATCCGTGAAGCATCCTAATATTTAATTATTATCGGATACATAGCAAGTGTATCCTTGAGTATCCTCGAGTATCGTATCTGATACGGTATCCGATATGGGTATGCCGACCTCAATGAAGTATCCGTGCTACATAGCATTTGACACAATTGATTGGGGCTTTATCATATCTGTGTTAAGGCAATGCAAATTTCCAGAAATCATGATCAATTGGATCACCTCCTGCTTAACAACTCCAACGTTCTCCATTTCTCTAAAAGATGAGCTCATTGGTTTTTTCCTAGAGTAATAAGGGCATTAGACAAGGCGATCCATTATCCCCCTACATCTTTGTGATTGTGATGGAACTGGAAGCTCTTACCCAAACCTTGAAAGCTGGAATTGTTGCATCAACCAGCTTTGAGTATCACTGGAGATGTAAGAAGCAGCAGCTAGTCCAACTAAGTTTTGCTGATGATCTGATCTTGTTCTGTCATGGTGACATTTCCTCAGTTTCTGTACTGGCAGCAACATTAGACAGATTTCTTAACTTATCAAGTATGAGTGCCAACTCAGATAAGAGCTTAATATTTATGACTTGAGTTCAAGATGATGTCAGGAACCAGATTAAGTTTTGTTTCGGGTTTGAAATAGGGCAGCTACCTATTAGATATCTTGGAGTTCCATTGATTTCCCCTAAACTTAGACCAAGGGATTGTGCAACCTTAATAGAAAAAGACAGAAGCAAGAATTAGTTGATAGATCAACAAGACTCTATCCTACGCTAGTAGATTGCAATTGATACAAGTTTTTATCCTACACTACCTAACTGTCGCGATATCGGGGGTTTTGTTGGTGAATCGAGGTCGTGGTGGTGCTACGGATTCACCAACAAAACCCCCAATATTGCGACAGTTAGGTAGCCGATAGTAGTAGAAGCTCTA